GTTTCTCAAAATGGAGAACTGTGACCAGTGGTGTTCCACAGGGATCCGTGTTGGGACCACTGTTGTTTGTGATATACATAAATGATCTGGAGGAAGGTATAGATGGTCTGATTAGCAAGTTTGCAGATGACACTAAGATTGGTGGAGTAGCAGATAGTAAAGGGGACTGTCAGAGAATGCAGCAGAATATAGATAGATTGGAGAGTTGGGCGGAGAAATGGCAGATGGAGTTCAATCCAGGCAAATGTGAGGTGATGCATTTTGGAAGATCCAATTCAAAAGCGAACTATACGGTAAATGGAAAAGCCCTGGGGAAAATTGATGCACAGAGAGATCTGGGTGTTGAGGTCCATTGTACCCTGAAGGTGGCAACGCAGGTCGATAGAGTGGTCAAGAAGGCATACGGCATGCTTTCATTCATCAGACAGGGTATTGAGTACAAGAGTTGGCAGGTCATGTTACAGTTGTATAGGACTTTGGTTCGACCACATTTGGAATACTGTGTACAGTTCTGGTCGCCACATTACCAAAAGGATGTGGATGCTTTGGAGAGGGTGCAGAGAATGTTGCCTGGTATGGAGGGTGCTAGCTATGAAGAGAGGTTGAGTAGATTAGGATTATTTACATTAGAAAGACGGAAGTTGAGGGGGGACCTGATTGAGGTCTACAAAATCATGAGAGGTATAGACAGGGTGGATAGCAAGAAGCTTTTTCCCAGATTGGGGTCTCAATTACTAGGGGTCACGATTTCAAGGTGAGAGGGGAAAAGTTTAAGGGAAATTTGCGTGGAAAGTTCTTCACGCAGAGGGTGGTGGGTGCCTGGAATGCGTTACCAGCGGAGGTGGTAGAGGTGGGCACGATAGTGTCATTTAAGATGTATCTAGACAGATACATGACTGGGCAGGGAGCAGAGAGATACAGATCCTTGGAAAATAGGCGACAGGTTTAGATAGAAGATCTGGATTGGCACAGGCTTGGATGGCCGAAGGGCCTGTTCCTGTGCTGTAATTTTCTTTGTTCTTTGTTCAGATTTTCAGTATCTGTAGTACTCTGCTGTTACATTAAAAGTTGATTTGATTCATGATACAACAGGAAAAGGGCTGGGCCTATGTCATTTGGAAAAGAGAAGACAAGAGTGGTGATCCAAGTGGCCCAGAAGGCCATTTGACCCACCAGAAATATACTAGAGTTTACAACTCAAAGTCCACTTCCCAGTTTACTTAGTTACACCTTTAGAGCCAAAGCCCTAAACTCTGCAATTCCTTCCCGAAATCTGCACCTCCCTACCTCGCGAGGAATGTTTAGAATTTAGGTATTTAACAAAATCTTGCCGGAAGGATATTAAAATTATTAAAATGCTTTGTTTGACTGGATACAGAGAGAGGTTTTCCAATGTTGGAGGAAGGGCAAAAGATGAGGACACTGATATGACATGAAGAAACCCAAGAGGGAATTCAGAAGAAGCCTCTTTATCCAGACAGCAGAAAGGATGTGGGACTGATTGAGATGGACAGTAGTGATGCACTCAAGGGGAGGCTGGAAAAACCAGAAGGGATGGAAGTATGTGTTGATAACGAGATTGAAATAGGATGGGAGGAGGATTGGGCGAAGTATCATTGTTGGCATGCACTGGTTGGGTCAAATGGTCTGATTCTCTGCTGCATGTTCTGTGTAATTCTCTAGATGTGGAGGGGTGGTGACTTTGGACCTATGGTTCCCAGAGCTCCAGCGTTTTGTCTGGGCGCTGTCACATACTCATTGATTGACATTGATTAGTTAATATCAACATTACTAATGTAATATGTTGTTCCAAGGAAGGTAGAAAGTAAAAGGAGCTGGTCTTTGCTCTTTGATGTCCAGCATTTCCTTTGTCTCCAAGCAAGAGACAGACTTTTGACAGGAGCTGGTCAAGACAACAAACCCAAGGATTAGCCTGTTCCTAGCCAAAAAATTGTTTTTCTTTATTATTCCGTCAAGCGACTTACCTGAAAGCTTCAGTCACAGTTTGCTCTGGCAGATGGGGTGTAACGTTCGCAAATGCCCTCTTAAAATCGTCCAAAGTCAGAAAACCACGACCTGACAGCAAGATTTTGAAAAGAAAGCACAAGCAAACATGTTACATTTCTATACAGTAAAAAACTGTTTCAAATCTTCTGAAGGTACAGTGAAATGCTACCAGCAGTTCAGTGGAAAACTGTCAGAAAAATTTGATATTGATACGCAAGGAGACATTAAGGCAGATAGCCAATGATTTGGTTAAATACCTGGGTTATAAATGTTCCTCGTGAGGTAGTGAGGTGCACATTTAGGGAGGGAATTGTCGAGTTTAGGGCTTTGACTCTAAAGGTGTGATCAAGTAAACTGTGAAGTGGACTTCGAGTTGTAAACTCTAGTATAGTTCAGGTGGGCTGAATGGCCTATTCCTGTACTGTAATTACTCCGTATTTATCTGCATCTTTATTTTGAAGGTTAGGTTTGACATGGTACAGAAAATTGTCTAGTGCAACAAGGTCTGGAGGAGACCACTCAGCCAAACAAGTCTGCAACAACTCTTGCAAAGAATAATTGAGATTGTCCAAGACCTCCTATCTTTCCCCCTATCCCAGCACAATTAAAAGAATTCTTCCTAATCTGCTCAAATCAGCCCCTCTGATTATCGATTCTTCACCTAATGGAAACAGTTCCTTTGTATTACTCTAAACCCTTCATGATGTAAAACAACTCCATCAAAACTTCTCAGCTCACTGAAGGAAAAGACAGAGTACAAAGCCAGTCATTTGCCTTTCTAAAAACTGCCTCCAGACACAAGGTAGCCGTAGCTTTGATCTAAGACAACATTCACAGTGGCAATGAGCTGCCTTTTAAACAGACTCTTGAGTGAAACTTGATAAATTGCTACGGGCAGCTACTGCACAGATTGAGACAGTAGACCCTCACCAAGGATATATTTCCCTCCCCGCCCTTATCTGCCTTCTGGAGGGACCGCGCTCTCTGTGACTCCCTCGTCCGCTCCACAGTCCCCACTAGCCCCACCATCCCTGGCACTTTTCCCTGCAACCACAGGAAGTGCTACACATGCCCCTACATCTCCCACCTCACCTCCATCCCAGGCCCCAAGAAGACCTTCCACATTAAACAGATGTTCACCTGCACATCTGCTAATGTGGTATATTGTATTCACTGTTCCCGGTGTGGCCTCCCCTACATCGGGGAAACCAAGTGGAGGCTTGGGGACCGCTTTGTGGAACACCTACGCTCGGTTCGTGATAAACGACAACACCTCCCAGTCGTGAACCACTTCAACTCCCCCTCCCACTCCTTGGACGACATATCCATCCTGGGCCTCCTCCAGTGCCACAACGATGCCACCCGAAGGCTGGAGGAACAGCACCTCATATTCCGCTTGGGAACCCTGCAGCCCAATGAACTCAATGTGGACTTCACAAGCTTCAAAATCACCTCGCCCCCGACCTCATCCCAAGACCAGCCCATTTCGTCCCCACCTCCCTGGCCTGTCCAATTTTCTCCCACCTACCCGCCCCTCCCTCCTCACTGACCAATCCCCATTCCAACTCTCTACCTACACTCACCTTTATAGGCTCCATCCCTGCCTCCTTGACCTGTCCGTCTTCTCTCCACCTATCTGCTCCTCTATCCACCTTCTATCATCGCCTCCCCCTCTCTCTATTTATTTCAGAGCCCCCTTCCCCTCCCCCATTTCTGAAGAAGGGTGTTGAGGTTGAAGAAGGGTCCAGACCCGAAACGTCAGCTTTCCTGCTCCTCTGATGCTGCCTGGCCTGCTGTATTCATCCAGCCCTACACCTTGTTATCTTATACGACACAGATTGTCAGCTTGTGACAAGGCGGTAAAACCTACAGTGTGCGTCAAATGCCGAGAAGATCTGCCGTATCTCGTCGTAGCGGTCTTGGGCTGCCAACTTCCTGCTCATCAGAGTCGTGAACTGTTCTATGGACAGGCCTAGAAATGGGATGGTACGTGAGAAATTAGTGTCATGTTTGAAACAGAAAACAGGAACAGGAGTAGGCCATTTAGCCCTTCGAGCCTGCTCCACCTTACAGTATGATCTTGGCTTACATTCCAACTCAGCTTCCTGCTCCCGATTTCTCCTCACAACATTAGCCCTAAGAACTATATCTAACTTCTTCTTGAAAACATTCAATGTTTTGGCCTCAACTGCTTTCTGTGGTAGTGAATTCCACAAGCTCATTACTGTGTGGGTGAAGAAATTTCTCCATCTCAGTCCTAAATGGCCTACCCCGTATCCTTAGACTGTGACCTCTAGCCATTGGGAACATTCTCCATTTACTTTATAGATTTCTATGAGAATGTCACTCTCCCCCCTCACTTTTCGAAACTCCAGTGACCTTCAGGGCACTCTCTGCCAGGGAAAAGGAGATAGCTACAGGAGGGATGGGTGGGGAGAGGGTAGCGGGATTAGGAGTGAGGTCACAGGATGGAGCTAGGACGGGATTGATGAGTGAGAGACCGAGAGAGAGGGAGAGCGTGCGCATGAGACTATGTGCATGTGTTTGTTTGTGTGTGTATGTGGGGTGGGGTGGGGAGAGGGAGAGGAGGAGGGGACAGAGGGAAGGGAGAGAGGGAGAGGAGGAGGGGGAGGGGAGAGAGGAGAGGGAGGGGAAGGAGCGGGAGGGGAAGGAGCGGGAGGCGAAGGAGCGGGAGGCGAAGGAGCGGGAGGCGA